GAAACACAAGCGTTCACACAGAGATTAAAAATAAACAGTGTGAGGCTTAGGGAGACGAGGTTTACCTGTGCTCCCCTGACGCCAGCAGGGCTGGCGAGCGCCGGGGGGGAAGTCGCAGCACGCACCCGCGTTTGATTAATCGTTTCCGACCAATTTCCAGGTCCGGGTTGAACGTGAGCTGTCCTCATTCACTCTGGTACTTCCAATACACGCAACTGTGCCCAACAGTCCAACTGTTGGACTAGCCAAACTAGCCTAAACGACGTGGTCCGCATATCGTTACGTACACCCTTTCTAGCACGTTGCAGCGTGCGGGCGGAAGCCCTCTGCCCACCCCTTCAGAAGACCAGAACATCGGCGGGTTTCGCCATTCGACCGTAACCAGCAGTGTCCGCGTGCACCCTTTGTCAGTTAACGGAAGGCAGGGCATATGGCAGACTTCAGCGTTTTAGTTTGCCAAGAAAGCCGACGGGCAGACTAGAAGTTAATAAAATAAGCATCTATTATTGCACTAACGCTGAACCTGTATACTTCAGAGAAGACTGAAGCCTGTTTTCCTCAACAGCAGCTGTGTTTACACTATAGCACAGTCTGGTACCTCAGAAACTCAAGTGAACTTAAATCCTACAATAACCACGCCGGCTCCAAGGGGAAAACCGTTAAGAGAAGAAACACACGCTCGATTTCTCGCGCTAAATAAAAATCTTTACTTCAGTTGCTTTTAAATGTGCCACAATTTCATCCACCATGGACTGGGGATACAACTGGCGAACAAGACACGTTGAAAACAGTTGTCTTTGGTGGACACAGTAGCATAATATAAAAATGCATCTGTGCGCACCAAATAGTTTTTCCCTTCTCCCCCAGCAAGATACACAAACACGTTTTAATCAATACTAGAGTCGGTCTAAAGTTTAGACTTTGAACCACATCCATCACTCACTGTCGGGAACAGAAAGCCTGTCCTCTAAAGCTTTCTTCCGATGAAAAAAATCTGTCCGTTGCCAAGATGATTCAGTGTTACTTTTTCATTTATTTAGGCTTGGAGGATATCTGGCTTTCTCTTCCTTGCGCCCACTGCACAGAGTAGGAAATACACTTTATCTACAGTTACCCAAAACTTTGGTCACCTATTCTGCATGACACAGTCAACTCGGCCAGATCCGTGGAGCTCCTGATTCAGAAAAGGAAAAATCTACTTGCTTTTACCTGAAAACACCATATAACGTTATGCTGAAGTCAACAGATCCATCCCCATGGCAGCAAGGCCCCAACCGGGGAACGCCACCAGCCTTTAAGCATTGACGTGCGGGAAAACATCCATCCGTGAGCCTTCTCCCCCGTCTAAGCAGACCAGGCACAGAAAAACCATTTGCTTAACCAGAGCATTGGCAAGGACGCAGCTGATCGATACTCCAAACTTGTGAATTCGTGCAGCAGCAGTAACCAGGCTGCCTAATGATCCCCTGCACAAAGAGCACCAGTCGTTCAGCCCGAGACAGTCAATGATTCTTCAGCTGGGCTAGCTTCCTCGTTGCTCAGGATACAAGATAAAGCCGTTGTGCGATTATTACTTAACACTCCTTCTTGGGCAACCCCCCGTTCTATCATTCTGATTGATGCTTACTCCATTTGTCTTTCGCTTATGATGCCGGATCCGGTTTGGGTTGGGGAACGTGGAGGATTTCTTCTTCAGAAAGAATTGCATCTCAACACCAAGAGAGGGATGCAATCCTCCCGCCAAAGCGGGCCGCGACAAGGGGGGAAAGTATGGGCAACCTGGAATTTGACATTGGCCTTTTCCTCGGGCTGGCTGTTCCCATGACATCTGCAGGGAGCACCAAGATCTGCAGATACCACGAGCAGAAGGGAGGCCGATCCGAAAGGCTTCTCCAAAAGGCCACTGCCTTCCCAGGAGACAACTATGATTAAAGAAGGTGAAGCCAACTGCTGCTCATGAATTTGAGGTAAAACTCAGAGTATGCTCAAGTTGCCTGACCTCCCTGCTTCAGAGTCATATTCATTTTCTGCTAATGCAAATAAAACGGAGCAAGCAGTGGGAACGCTGTGCGCTTAATGTCACCAATACCTGGGCAGTGTGGGCACGACCAGCTTTCATTTAACCAATCCCCAAACAAGAGTATGATGGAGAGTACTGTCAGGGGGTTACATCCAGCACTGCCCCAAAATTGCACTGTAAAAATAGAGTCATCACATTTTTTTTTTTTCTTAAATCAAAATGACTAAAGAGGTAGTAAGTTCTGGTTTTAGTTGTCACCAAACATAGACGCTTCCGAGTATCTCAGCAATATTGCACAACACTGGACATGCTCTCAATTTAAGTAAACCATACACTTGCTGACTGCTCCTGCTCTCCTAAGTCTTCTTACAACGCAAAGCCCCGTGCTGACTTTCCTCGTAGCTGGCGCACTTACAAACAGGTAAGCCGGAGAGATCACATCATAAGCATCTATTGCCAAGAAGTCACAGCTACCCAAAAGACACTTAAGAGGCACAGTCTTTAGGAACAACCTCCTGATCTTAAATAGATGCTTGGTCAAAAAACCTTGCATAAATAAATAATGTTTTAGGTTGCGGGGTTCCCCCCCCCCCCCCACAAAACTGAAGTCATCATTAGAGCGCGGGCTGCAATACTTCCCTATCAAGAGATCCCAGGCAGAGAGCACAAAAAATTTTTCCCGCTACTTATAGCGGCATGTGGATATTAAAGACAACAAATTTAGCAGGAGTAAGTATAGTGTAGGAGTTAAATGCCATCAGGACTTACTAATTTTTGACATAACCAAATTAACCCAATACCAACATCTAAGGAAAACTACTGAAATCCAATGCTGGGGGATTAAGAGGAAATGAGAAACTGCGCTTATTCTTCACTGCTACTTCACTATTTCAACAATATGGGATTCCAGGTTCCCACTCTAGATCTTCTGTTTTAAATAGTAAAGCTGAAAATAACTTCTTTAACACCACGTACCTTTTCTTCTCTGATGCACCACGAAAGACCTAATATGGGAATGTTGTCTGCAGACAGCAAAACATCTGGCAGCTTTCCAAGTATCCCTTCTGAAGCGTCTCTTTCCACTTCACATTGGGAAGCTGAGATAGAGCAACCTGGCAAAAGAGTTAGGCAATGCTATAACCAGCCAGGTACACTCAGAGTCTTCGTATCGAATTCATACTCAACCCACTCTTACAGAGACACTCAAGACTATTACTTTAAAATGCTGAACAATCGTACACAAATATCCCGAGAGAGAGCAGTTGCCTAGTGCTGGTTTGTATCGTACTTGTGCTTCACAACAGCCTCGTCCTTCCAACGCAGACACGGGCAGCGAGTCCAAGTACGGCGCTCCAGGCCACCGGGGAATTCTGCGACAAAGCCACCGCCTGCAGTGATAACGCTCTACAACGCTAGTGTGTCTAGTGGCATCAAGCTTTTAGCAAAAAAGAATATTCTTGGAAAGAGACAACAATGCAAGTACATTTTTAAAAGGGAAAGCTAAAGGGATTCTGCCACATCTTGCCACGCAGAGAATGAAAGCTTGCAGGAGAAGCCCAGTGGCATGATGCTGTTATGTCATATAAGAAGTCTAAATTTAATCCAAACCTAGAGGAATCACAGATCTCAAGGCGGGCGAAGCAATCGGACTCCAGTGCAGCTTAAAGTATGTGGACCATGTCAGCACGTCTTAGACAGCCCAATACTGTAATGCACACCACACCTTCTTTACTCAAAATTTCAATTCAATTTGTCTGCATGACCTCCAGGGAGTATTTTCCCCAATAGTGAATTCTGATTGCCACCTCACTTATCAAAATATATTCAGTGATAAAACTTGAAGTGTTTCTTAAGTTATTAAAGCATATTTATCAACATCTCTGTCTTAGATACCAGGTTAAACAAGACCCAACATCGAGCTTTCCAGCAGCTCAATGAAATATCTTTCAGCTTTTTTTTTTTTTTTTTTAAAAATATCAGAGAAATAGCTTACAAAAATTCAGGAGGAGAATCAGACACCTCTGCAAGAAATGGAAACCTCATAGCTAGGGAGAAATTTTAATCAAGACGAGAAAAGTTGGAAAATTTGCACTTCATATAAGTTTCTGTGCGTTAATAATTAGTCATGACCAAGTACCTGAAAGGTCCTCAGACAAATATTTATGTTGAGAAAGCATGAGGGCTCAAGAGATTTGCAAGGCATTAAAGCTCATCGAGGAACTGGTCCACAGTTTGATCCCTGTAAGCATCTCACATGGTCACCAAGTTGTTTTAGCTGAAGAAAACAGCTCTGCTACATGGAAACATTAGTCCACAGTAAGCAAGGGGTTAGCAGAGATAAGTTATAAGGAGGAAATCTGTTACTAAACCAGTTTTGATAGACAGAGAAATCTTTGCATATGAAGAGGCTCCAGGCTGCCAGTGTGAAGACAACTCAAGCTGGCAAGGTCAGAAACTGTTGATGTGATGTCTGTAAAATTGCCGATGTGAAATAAATCAGGTATGAGACAGTCACAACAGCCTTTCTGACATGGGCCTTGCAATCTTCATATTGGCCAGAAACCAAGGCTTAACTAGCATGAGCAAGAACTAAATATGCTCCCTTTCTGGGTTACCTAGAAGAGGGAAATACAGTCACTGAAATTGCATACAAATCACATGGATTGGAAAACTTCAACAGCCAAAAGCAAGACCTTTTCTTACCCATGTTCATATTTTTGGTCCTCAAGAGAAAAAGATTGCTAAGAAAGGTCTTCAAGCAATAAAGAGCTTGCAGGTAGCTAAATGCAGCATCGCATTTTGTGTGTTGCAAATTAAACCACGGCCGCCCCATTCCAGATCTTCTTACTCCTGCAGAATACATTTCTGGGAAACGCGACCCCCTGTCGCAACCTTAACAAGCAGCGATGGATCCAGGGTCGTTGCATACACGAGAGCCTCCTTCCTCTGATCAGGATTTAAAATCCATCTTCCAGCTGCATTTGCATGTCTGCAGCAGATTTTTTTTTTTCTAATCGCTAAAAGCAAGTGTTGGCAGAGTTAAAAACCCCAGAATTGCAGCTGCAATAATAATTTAGGCTTCAGGGTTAACAACCCCCTGCAAGAAGTGGAAACACACATGGCAGGTTAAGACAGAGCGTTGGTGCTTTGGTGGGAAACTCGTAAAAGCTTACAGCTCTTACAAAAGTGGCAATGGCAAAAATGGGAAATTTCTGCTGTGGGGGGAACTGAAAGTCACCTGCTAAGCATATATGACTACCTTATATTTAATCTATTTTGTGGGTTATTCTTTACACTTCTTCAGCACCTAGAGCACATGAAAACTGTTGAGCCTTACAACTCTTTGTATGAGGAATCAGAAACGTCTAGAATACGTTTGTGCAATACTGTGATCCACTATAAGAACAATATCCCAAGCTGTTACAGCGACTGACAAAGTAGATTTTTGACATTCAGCATTACATGCAAGAGACTCACCAAAAACCTGGTCTGTATTGGATTTTTAGAAGTCTGCACCTTCCTCCTGCTACGATTCTCTGCTGATACTCCAATTTCTCACTAAGCTGTTCACCATTCTCACAGTCTTCAAGATCCAAAACTTGTACGGCAGTTCCACCATTAATTCAGCCCATCCCAAAAATTGGTTTGGCTACCATAAAGACCTTTCTCCTCTACCCCCGTTCCCCATCAACAATCTTGCAAGGCCAACAGCAAGTTTATCAGACCCATCGCAGATTAAGTTGCTCAAAGAGCTACAGACTTAAAAGCCATTTAAAAGTCCCTGTCAAACTTCCAGTTTTAAATGCAAGACCTGGTTGTGGAATTTCAGTTTTAGCCTGAAGACAGGTTTTCTCAAGTCAACAGACCGTAATCTATTATTTTCTGATCTTCCTATTAGACAGGAATTCTACCCCGACAGCAGCATTGCCTGGGACTTGCCCTGTTCAGTCAGTAGTCACATCACAGCGATCCCTGCACAAGATCCTAAGAGCAGATATTTACTCTCTTAGAGCCGCAACAGCAATACACGTTTGACAGACTGTACTGAAAAAAGTCCGTTACTCCCACCCTAAAGTGCTCTGAAAGCACCAGCACTGCTACCTAAGCAGATTGCTGGTGCCTTGCTCCCGGACAGCAAAGTTTTTTCACTTTTCATCCCCTCAGACACCGACGTTGCCTGCAGTCATCTTCCCTTGCTACAAGAAAGCCTACTAACTTGAAGAACAAATTTGGAGTATGCTACAATGTTAAAATAATTATAGGAGCCCGTACCTATACATCCAGTTAAATGAAAAATTTGAACAAAATCGAGTTTCGAGGCATTTGACCGTATGCTTTTTAGAGAGTTCTGCGCTTTTAACATTGGCTTAGTTTTCCAGAGGGTGAACTGACTGAGCATACGCCGCTTTTTGGCATGATATCAGCCCGCTGCCGGGCTAGGTGCAGCTTCAAGTGTGCCTAGCTACTGCAATTTTTAGACTGACCAGAGGAAGAGCCTAGGCCTTCCCTACGGGCGTTACAGTTGCGACAATAACTTTACTGCATTTTCCTACTATGCAGACAGTATAGAGGCAAGCTTTTTTTTTTTTTTTTTAAACTAAGTTCATTCAATATAAGCAGGAACGTTGGATAAACTTGCATAGTATTTGAGCAAACAGACGAGGAAATACATGCATCAACTGCTACAAGAAACTGGCACTATTTTTTTAATCATAATTCAAAATATTTCCTTCACAGAGACATTTTTGCACACAATAGCTTGTGAAATAATGGAACTAATATTTTAATCAAGCTATCAGGCTTAACTATTAAGTAACCCAAGAAAATACTAATACTAAACTGCAGAGTACAGGAGGAGAGATGGGTTTGGAGCGGCATTACGAGCACCTGAGACGACGACTCAGAAGCGCTCCGACACATCTTGCCTGGGAAGTTCGTGTTCAGTGCCGAAGTCTATGCTCACGCTCCCTTTTCTTTTCCAGCTCCCTCCTGCCTCTGCTTCCCTACGAGCTTCTTCCCTCCATCAAGTCACACATCATCCACGTTTGGGAAATCAAACCAGCCGCAGTTTGTGAAGGAACAAAGTCCAAAAGAGGAAAAGTCAGTCAACTTCAATTATTTCTGCATGCTGACGTGTACTCAACGTCCAACGCAGGGCTGTAGCGAACCCGTCAACGTGCGTACGCACAACTTCCCCCCGCGCGACGGATTCAGAAGACGTTTTGTCACAGACGACAGCCCCGAGAGCAGAGCGCTTCTAGCTCAAGCCAAAGGACCCTTCGCTACGGAGAAAATACGGCAGCAGTTGGGTTCAAAGACCTTAGCATCAGACCAAGCGGAGAAACACTGACACAGAGCAGATGCGTCGTTACTACTACGCAGCGTTAGCGTTTATCACCAAGCTTGAAAGAGATGTTTTTAAATTCACGGCTAGGATACGTGGCCTGAAGTCCACGCTAGCCAAGGTTCGGGGCACCAGTTTCGATTGCTTCAGTGGGAGCTGGGCTCCTACTGCTTGGAGAATCGGGGCCCAAGCCGCTAAACTTAGGGAACCAGCCCCGGTGTAGATCAAACAGCAGCGAAGAGGTTGTCCCTACGCTGCCTTCGGTTTCGACTGTTGTCCGACCCGCTCCCTCCAGATACGGCACGACAACTGCCACTAGCGTGGGAAAAAAAAAAAACACCAGCAGCACTTCACTTTCTGCTTTTATTTTTCAAACAAGAAAGATTAGCAAACCGGAGAGGAAAACCCTCCGCTGAGCTGCCCATAAATACAATGCTCACGTCAATTTACGCTGCCTGTTACACCAACAGCAGACGTCATCCTTTTCACGTCTTTTTAAAAAGTCCCTTAGGAAACTAAATCAATAGCCTTAAACAATAGCCACTGCCCCCAGAAAGCAGACCACTTTAAGTGTAACACGAAAAAGCACCGTTAGTGTTGTTTTCTAGGCTTACGTGTTTTAATTACACCCCTCCATCCCCCTCCGTGCTTCGTAATTGCGTTTTCTTTTATCTTCAGAAGGCCAACTTTATCCGTAAGAGGTTGCGGCCGCAGATTTCAATCCTTTCACCACAGAGTCCTGAGGTCTCCCACTGCTTTCCAAGATTT